TCTCTGTTTGGAGCCAGAGAGGGCAAGCCACCTGCAAATCCATTAGCTCCCTAGAGTAGCAGAGGCATCTGTGAGAGTCGCTGCCTTCCGAGCCCCTAGGGAGGACAGGGCCAGGTGACCTTGCTCTAGGACTCCAGCCTTGTAGAAATTCTTTCCTGACCCTTTCCATGCGATGCTGAGGGTGGAAGGAGCCATACTCATCTCTCAGCACCTTAAGCTGAACTTTAATGCTAGGGGGAAGGCAAGGGAGCACTTACTCATAACCAGCTGAAATTCAGACGTCAGGACGGTTCTACCCTTGAACCAGTCTGATGGGCCCATCAGGGATTTGTCTCCTAGGTAGCGGTCCTGGTAGGTTACCATCTAATCTCAGCTGCCATGCACATGTTATCGTTGTTGTACCATGGATGTCTTTCTACACAGGCTGGGAGGAGTCTTCCCCAGCCCAACCCCCACCCCCCTGCAGTAGATCATGAAATGTACCAAAGATGGCTGGAAGTGAGGACTTGAACCAGGGAGCAAGCTCATTCATTGTGTCACCCACTACAGTCTTGCAGGTGTCTCTGGAGGAGTTTATCACTCGACCCAAATCCGGGAGCCTGTTTCATACTTATATTTTTATCTTGTACCACATCTAGCACAGGGTACTGTGCTTAGTAGATTGGTTAATTTGTGGAATGATTTTTTAGTAGCTTTATTGAATATAATTCATATACCATAGCTTACTCATTTAAAGTATACAATTTTTTTTAATATAGTCAGAGTTTTGCAACTATTGCATAGTCTAATTTTGGAATATTTTTATCACCCCCCAAAGAACACTGTATCCATTAATAGTCACACCCCATTCCCCCCTTATTCCCTGTCCCAGCCTTAGGCAACTAATCTACTTTCTGTCTCCATCGATCTACCCCTTCTGGACATTTCATATAAATGGAATCCTACCATATGCAACTTTTGGACTGGCCTTTTTCATTTAGCATAATGTTTTCAAGATTTATCTGTATTGGAGCATTAATCAGTACTTTATTGCTTTTTATTGCTAAATAGTATTTCATCACATGGATATACCATATTCATCAGTTCATTGATGGACATTTGAATTGGTTCCACTTTTTAGCCCTTTTGAATAATTCTCCTACAACCATCTGTGTATAAGTTCTTGTGTGGACATAAGTTTTCATTTCTCTTAGAAACCTAGGAATGGAATTGCTGGTCAAACAAGGGTTAAAATGCAACTTTCAAGGAATTTCCAAAGCTGCTGCATTGGTTTACATTCCCATCAGCAGTATATGAGAATTATGATTTCTCTGCATCCTCACCAAACACTTGTAATTGTCTTTTTTTTTTTTTTTTTTTTTTTTTTTTTTTTTTTAACCATCCTAGTATATGTGAGGTGATAAATCATTGTGGTTTGGCTTGCATTTCCCTAATGACCTTGAACATCTTGTGTGCTTATTGGCCACTTGGAAGTGTCTACTCAATTTTTTTCCCATTTTTTGATTGGATTTCTTTTTATTTGTTGAGTTATAAATACTCTATTCAGGGTCCAAGTTCCATATCATATAAATGATTTACAGATATTTATTGTCATACTGTGTGTTCCCTTTTCCTTTTGATAGTATCCTTCTAAGCAGAAAAGTTTTTAGTTTGGATGAAGTCCAATTTAAATATTTTTTTCTTTGGCTACTTGTGCTTTCGGTGTTATATTTAAGAAGCCATTGACTAATCCAAATTCAGAGATTTTGCTCCTTTGTTCTTTTCCAAGAGTTTTATAGTTTTAGCTCTTACATTTAGGTCTTCGATACACTTTATTTTTTGTGTATAGTGTGAGGTAGGAGTCCAGTTTTACTTTGTGGAAATACAGTTGTCCGGGCCATTTGTTGAAAAGACTATTCTTTCCTCAATGAATTACAACATGAGGGTTTATTTCTGGATTCTCCATTCTATTCTATTTTTTTTTTAATTTTTTTTTTTCAACGTTTATTTATTTTTGGGACAGAGAGAGACAGAGCATGAACGGGGGAGGGGCAGAGAGAGGAAGACACAGAATCGGAAACAGGCTCCAGGCTCTGAGCCATCAGCCCAGAGCCTGACGCGGGGCTCGAACTCACGGACCGCGAGATCGTGACCTGGCTGAAGTCGGACGCTTAACCGACTGCGCCACCCAGGCGCCCCTCCATTCTATTCTATTGATCTATGGTCTACCCTGATGCTAGTGTCTCACTGTCTTGATTACCATAATCGTGTTTGAAGTAGTAAGTGTTAAAATTGAGAAGTGTGATCCTTCCAAATAATCTTTCAAGATTATTTTGGCTATTCTGGATCCCTAGATATTCCGTGTAAATTTCAGGGTCAGCTTGTCAATTTCTGCAACAAAGCCATCTGGGATCTTGATAATGATTTTGTTGAGTCTATAAATCAATTGGAGGAGGGTTATATCTTAACAACATTAAGTCTTCTGATCCACTAACTTAGGATGTCTTTCCACTTTAGATCTTCTTTAATTTCCTTCAACAATATTTTGTAGCTTTCAGAGTATAAATTTCTACTGCTTTTGTTAAATGTATTCCAGAGTATTTTCTTCTTTCTGAAGCCTTTGTAAATGGAATTGCTTTCTTAATTTTGCTTCTCAGATTGTTTACTGCAGTGTATAGAAATACAATCAAGTTTTGTGTATTGATCTTGTACTCTACGACCTGAACTCATTTATTCTAATACCTTTTAAGTATATTGCCTGGGATTTTCTACATAAAAGATCATGTCTTATGCAGATAAGGATCATTCTACTTCTTCCTTTCCAATCTTGATGATTTTTATTTCTTTTGTATTTGCCCTGGCTAGAATCTCCAGTACACTGGTGAATAGTTTTGGCAAGAGCAGGCATCCTTGTCTTTGTCCTGACTGTGGACACAAAAGGTATTCAGTCTTCTGCCATAAAGTCTGATGTTGTGGGTTTTTGTAGATACCCTTTATCAGGTTGAGGAAAGTCCCTCCTATTCTTAGTGTAAGTGTTTTTATCATGAACATTTGGTAACCTTTTTGTTAAGGATTTTTGCATTCATATCCTCAAGAGGTAATAGTCTGTGGTTTTCTTGTGATGTCTCTAGTTTTGGTGTTAGGATATTACTGGTCTTGTAAAGGGAACTGAGAAGTGTTCCCTCCTTTTCTGTTTTATGAAATAACCTGTGCAGAATGGGTATTAATTTTTCTTTCAGTTGTTGCTAAGTGATGGAATGATCTTAAAGTATATGCTTCAGCTTGGCGCCTGGGGAAGGTAATGTTGTAGAACCAGCCACATACGTTCATCAACAGCTCCATGCCATTCCTGCTGCTTGAACTCCACATACATCATCTCCTTTAATTCTGAGACCAGGCCTGTGGGGTGGGTGTTTGTTTTCCAGAGGGGGACCTGGGCTTTACAGAGCCAGAGATCTGTGGCTGTGGAGCTCCTTGTCTTTGCCTCAGGCCAGATTTGCTGTACTTTGATTGTGATGTGATCGCAGGAGTTTTTTCTGTGCTGACTTGCCAGTGGTTCAGGGAGCCTCCAAGGAAGTGGGACTCAAGTCTGGATGCCTGAATCGAGGTTCCCTGGGCACGTGTTCCTCCTCCTCTTCCTGTCCAGTTTCCACAGTGCTCACTCACTTGCTTACCTTTGTCAGGAAGACAGGGATGCGACATTGGTGAGGAAAATTACTCAGTGGCCTTCTGCCAGATGAGTCTCCAGGGGTTCCAGAGAGAAACATGCAGAGGTGGATCCATTGTGCTCCAGCTCCCATGTTACGACAGACCCCTTTCCTATACTCTTCTAGAACAACTAATGATTTCTGATTGTCTTAGAATATGTATGAATTGTTACATTTTTAAATCTATACAAATATTTGCTCCAATACTAAATAGCCAAAACTTCCTTTTTTAAAAAGCTTGCCATACAGGGGCACCTGGGTGGCTCAGTCGGTTGAGCATCCAACTTCAGCTCAGGTCATGATCTCACAGTTCGTGGGTTCGAGCCCCACGTTGGGCTCTATGCTTGACAGCTCAGAGCCTGGAGCCTGCTTTGGATTCTGTATCTCCCTCTCTCTCTGCCCCTCCCCCACTTGGAGTCTGTCTCTCTCTCAAAAAATAAACATTAAAAGGAATTTTGTTAAATTTTTATGTTTTTATTTTATTTTTGAGAGAGATACAGAGTGTGAGCAGGGAAGCGGCAGAGAGAGAGAGGGAGATACAGAATCCAAAGCAGGCTCCAGGCTCTGAGCTGTCGGCACAAAGCCCGATGCAGTGCTCGATCTCATGAGCTGTGAGATAATGAGCCAAAGTCAGACACTTAACCGACTGAGCCACCCAGGCACTCCTTAAAAAAAATTTTTTTAAAGCTTGCCATACACTGTTTGTATTCTTCCTCTGAACAGAGCAGGATTTTTCTTTAATTAGTCTTTTATTTTTGTACCATTTTCAGTAGCATTCACTTCATGTTTTCTTTGTGGTGGGGGCGGTGGGTATCATCAGAAGCTAAACACTAGAGTTCTCTTTCCTTCCGCAACACCTGACCTGTGCTGCTCCACTGAGACCGGCAAGGGCAAGTAGGATGAAGACCAGAGATAATTCTTCATTGTGAGCCTTGGGCTCTCCTGCCACTCAGATTCGAGAGCTCAAAATTTACCAAGACAAGCAACCAAACACGAAGTGAAAGCCTATTATCAGTGTCCATTCCTGCACACGGCCTGTGAGCATGTGCAGACTTCTCATGAGACTTCTGTGGGCGCTGGAAGACCGTACAGAGTGGTGAGCTCATCTGTCTTCTTTTAATGGGACTTTTCTTTCAGTGCAACAAATTTTCCCTCAAAATGAAAGCAGTCTTGACTGACTTGATTCTCTTAAAAAGAGGATGCAGACATAACCAAACCCCACAAAAGGAGCTGAACTTCAAACCCCACAAAAGGAGCCTCTCCTTTCCCCAGCCTCAAAGGGCAAACATTTTCCCCTCTTGCTCTCCCTTTCAGCGCGTTGTAGACCTGGAGGAAGAAAATGCTCTCTTAAAAGATGAGAAAGAACAGCTTAACAACCAAATCCTGTGCCAAGCGAAAGGTAAGTACCAAAGCACTTGATTTTTCATTTTGGAGTTTAACTACTTTTCCATACTGATTTCTGCCCCCAGAGCCTCCTAGCAAGAACACAGTCAAGATGGTGCAGGGAGAAAGGGCTTTAATAAATGAAAAAGAAGCAGGGGGGTGGGGGGGGGGGCACCTTTAAGACTCTGCTGTGACTCCTGGTTTTGAGTTTAATGCACATAATGGACAATGTAGTGGACAGGATTTGGAGTTCAGGGGACTTGTACTCGAAGAATAATTACTGTATGCTACTGCCTGGCCTTGAGCAACTCCCTTAATGACTGTAGTCCTCAGTTTCTTCATCTGCCAAATGGGCATAAAAGTATAGCTCTCCGAAGCATAAAGCATTTAGCATGGTGCTTGATACCTAATGAGCACCTAGCAGCTGTCATTATTGCTGATTTTAAATTTAGCTTTAGTGTCCATAGGACCTGTTGTGGTTTCTTCTGCCCAGTGGGTCGTCTGCTAATGTTTGCTGAAGAGAAGGTCCCGGGTCAGATCCCACCGACCCCTGTGCTGCCATCAACCCCCATGGGCTGCCTGACCAAGGAGGAGCAGCGGGTGTCCACAGATCCCAGTCCTTGCCCAGCTCAGTGGGTTCCTTAAGCAAATCACTCACCTTTTCCTCTTAGGTCTCTCTCCTGTGCCACAAGAGGATTGAACCATCTAAGGACGTGATTTCACCCAGCATGAAATCTCATTGAAAACTTAAACTTCATTTCCCTATAAATATTGCTTCTTTCTGCTGATATGAATAATAAGTTTTTGGGGGGGGGGGCCCATCCATGTGATCTGTTTACCTTCCCTCCTTCCCCCAACCTGACATCTGGCCTTCTCTCCTTCAATCTCCCTACAGTTCCAGAACCCGAAAGATCAGGAATGGGAACAAAACCTGGGTTCTTCCAAGCATCTTGCCAGCAGCTGCTGTGACCATTGTCACAGGAGAGAAGCTGGTGCATTAAGCAAGGGAATGTCCTGTCTGCTGCCTGCTTCTCCCCCCCCCCCCCCCCCCCTTCTCTGAAGACTTAAGCTGCCCTGACAAGCTTCCCTTTGCTCTGCAGTGGGTGAAGTTGCTGCTGAATAAACTCATCAGGTGGTGGTGGTGGGCACTTGTCATGGGCAGCCTTGCAAAGAGAGATTAATCACAAAGCATGAGTCAAGACTCATGCAAGGGGAATCTAGAAAGCAAAACTGCAGTTTCGTGTGCCTGCTTTCCAGATGAATCCGCCCAAAACTCTGCCAAGGAAAATCTGATGAAGAGGGAGCTGGAGGAGGAGCGCTCCCGGTACCAGAACCTCGTGAAGGAATATTCACGGTTGGAGCAGAGATACGACAACCTTCGGGATGAGATGACCATCATCAAGGCAAGGAGGGCAGTTCTGGCACCGGCCCCACCTCCGGCTTCCTCACCCCCATTCATGCACATCTCCAGCCACTGCACTGCCATCCAACACGGTCGTGCTCAGTAAATCTGTGCCTTTCTGGCACAGATCGGGTCCTTTCTGGCGGCTGTTCTTGCCGTGCCTGCCAGTGGTTATCACATATGGAAGTAGTGGGGCCAGGTGATCCTTCCCAGGGACGGCTCCTTTTTCCAACTTTGGGGACTTCTAAAGATCTCAGGAGTTTAAGGAAAATCCCACCATGGTGCATATTGTCAGTCGTGTTACCTGCCCCAGAAACGTCCCTACACTGAAACACTAGCAGTGTGGGGGAGTTCAGATCTCCGCATTGCTGGTGCATGCTGCAGAGAAACCCACAGCGTCTGATCATTTCTCCTAATCTTTATACATAGAAACATCCTATTTCAGGATTTATCGTTCCTTTTTACCCCACATAAACATTCCCTCCAGAAATGCATATTCAAACAAGATTGATAAGTTAATTGCATAGGAACCAGGAAGATAAGCTGAAGAGGAACATATATAAATACAGAATTTTCTGGCCAGTTTTTATTCTCAAAGCCAAATCATATGCAAGAAAAAGAAAAGTATTTTTACATGAACAACCTAAGTATAAATGGTAACCTATTTCTTTTTTCAAAATGTTTTAAGTTTGGTTATTTAAAGAATGTGCATGAGTTGGGGAGGGGCAGAGAGAGAATTCCAAGCAGACTCCACACTGTCAGTGCAGAGCCTGACACTGAGCTCTATCTCACAAATCATGAGACCGTGACCTGAGCCAAGATCAAGAGTTAGACACTTAACCGACCGAGCCCCCCGATAACCTCTATTTCTGATGTGCTTACTATTTTCATAAAATTGGAGCGCAAGTTGAAGGGCCCTCTAAGGGGCCCTTAGAAGCAGGCTTGCTACATTCCTTTCAAGTGGGGGCCTAATGACAGGATGGCCTTTGTGTACTATCAAGGCAAGACTAGGAAGATAAGGCTTGTTTCCTCAGGACTTTGTGGAAAAATCGGCTGAGGTGTTAGGGACTCAGATCTCATTAGGAGAGAGGGAATTTGGTCCGGCTATGGAGGTCCCTCCTCATCGTAATTTTGTTAGCTAGACAGATGACTGTAAGAACTGTAGATGAAGTTTTCATGGGAACAGCTCCATTTCGCTATCATTCCAAGACCTGTTCTTGTTGACAAATGAGGCCAGAGTCCAACTCTAAGATCTACTGGCCTTTGAAAAAGAAATAGTTCTCATGAGCATTCATTTGTTAGGAGTACTCACATTTTTCTCCTTCAACAGCAAACTCCAGGGCACAGGCGGAACCCATCAAACCAGAGCAGTTTAGAATCTGACTCTAATTACCCCTCCATCTCCACATCTGAGGTCGGAGACACAGAGGATGCCCTCCAACAGGTGGAGGTGAGTAAGACAGGCTCATGGCTGCTGTCTGTGCTCCAGAGGGAGTGGAGCTGCTTTGGGTTTACCAACTGTGTAGAGATGTACTCTTCTGGCTAATGGTGACCAGAGTGTCCACAGGCTTCTTTCTGACCATGGGATCACTTGGCCTGCAGGCAACTTACAGATCCTGGAGTTAATATTTACTGTGCAAAGAGATAGATTACTGTTCACCTTACCCACTATCCAGAAAGAAAGGAAGAAGGTAAGTCCCTGATCCTTCCTCTTATAAAACCGAGAGCCTATTGCAGAGAGGTAAATGCCTGACTTAAGAAGGAACAGCTTAGGTGAGGATGTGGAGAAACGGGAACCCTCTTGCACTGTTGGTGGCAATGCAAACTGGTGCAGCCGCTCTGGAGAACAGTGTGGAGGTTCCTCAAAAAATTAAAAATAGATCTACCCTATGACCCAGCAATAGCACTGCTAGAAATTTACCCAAGGGATACAGGAGTGCTGATGCATAGGGGTACATGTACCCGAATGTTTATAGCAGTGCTTTCAGCAATAGCCAAAATATAGAAAGATCCTAAATGTCCATCAACTGATGAATGGATGAAGATGTGGTTTATATACACAATGGAATACTACGTGGCAATGAGAATGAAATCTTGCCATTTGCAGCAATGTGAATGGAACTGGAGGGTATTATGCTAAGTGAAATAAGTCAGAGAAAGATATCCTATGTTTTCACTCATATGTGGATCTTGAGAGACTTAACAGAAGATCATGGCGGAAAGGAAATGGAAAAAATAGTTACAAACAGAGAGGGAGGCAAACCATAAGAGACTGTTAAATACAGAGAACAAATCAAGGATTGATGGGGGGTGGGGGAGAGGAGAAAGTGGGTGATGGGCAGTGAGGGAGGGTACTTGATGGAATGAGCACTGGGTGTTGTATGGAAGCCAATCTGACTATAAATTATATTAAAAAATACAACATCAGAGAAAGAAGGAACAGCTTAGTCATTAAAATGGAAATAATTTATCATCCCCATTTAGTATCATAGCATATATAAAATAGCCATAAATATGCAAGAAAAATTTTTTTCCTGACTTAGAAGCTGGGTAAAACTCAGAGAACAATTATTAATATTTGGAACCACAGATATTTGCCGAGTGACTATATCTTTGTCAATAATAGTCCCAGAGTTTCTAAATACTGTACCACACAGTGGACTTTGTAACCTGTGTGTAATTTTCCCAAAGGTAGACAGACACAAGTTTTCCTCCGGCATCTGAAAAGAAGAGAATCACAAGTACATAAAACCTTAAGCACGTGAAAGACAGACCTGGAAGAGAGGCAGTTGTAAATACAAACGTGCTTTGAGCACATCTTTGTGCAGGGTGCTGCAGGCGAAGTAGTGGTCACCAAGCCAGGGACGGTCCCTGCCCTCGCAGAGCTTGTCTGGTGGAAAGTCGGCAGTAATCAGGTGACGGGAGAAGTTTGTAATAGAACTTCAAGTGTTCGGTGCTAGAAAGAAAAAGTATGATAAGAGACCGCGAGTGACAGGGTAAAGGTGGCAAACGATAGGAAAGAGGTCCTTGGGATGGGAACGTGTTCTCTCGTACGTTCAGTGTGGTCTGCTGCTCGCCGTAAGCACTTAGCTCATGTTAGCTTGAGAGAGGCCATTGCTGTCACCACTGCAGTGTCCGAAGTCTGGATCCTGGAGGCTTCAGTCATTTAAACTCCAGACATGCCACCAGGCGTATATGTGGCCATTTCTGTGCAGATGTAACCACCTCCATCAGCAGATTGACCTTCTTCAAGGAAATTGAGGCTGGTTCTTGGGATCAGCCAGGACAGCTAGTACAGTGCTGGCTAAGCGCAAAGTGCTCGTGAAATGCTATACATGTACTTTAAAGATCCACATAGATAAGCTCATGCAGATACACCTGTTTGTACATGCGCACCCACACACAACAGAACCCCAGAGGGCAAACCCAGGCATGAATCCAAAGGGAGAAAATCTGGGAAATCGATGCTCTCGGGTCTATGGAATAAACAGGTTGCATGGCAGGGAAGTCTTGTGTAGGTTCTGTTTCAAGGTACAATCAAGTGGTGTTTGACAACACATTTGCAGTGATTAGTAACCACATCGATTCTTCCATCAGGAAGTGTCGAGCCTGAGTTTGACAATTTCTCTGGTATGAGACCATTTCCATCAGTGAACTCTTTTAACTTCCAAATAAAATGGCTGTGTCTTTACTCTTGGAATGTATGAGTGGTTATCTTAAGTGGCTCTCACAGGAATATAAATGGGCCAGACTCAAATGTCATCTAGACAGAAAATGAGCCTGGAGTGCCAACTTCACTCTGAGAACTGATGGTTGGTTGGCATTGGCTCTGCCTCTGGGGTGCAGGTTGATGTTTGTACAGAGAGAGAGGACAGGCAGCTGATACAGAGGCAGGCTGGGAGGTGCCGTATGTCCCCTGAGGCAGCTATGCTATTGAAACCTCCTTCCTGGCCCCCTGTGTTCCCCTGAAGGACATCGGCCTGGAAAAGGCAGCCATGGACATGACCGTCTTCCTGAAACTGCAGAAGAGAGTGCGCGAGCTGGAGCAGGAGAGGAAGAAACTTCAGGTGCAGCTGGAGAAGAGGGAGCAGCAGGACAGCCGGAAGGTCCAGGTGCGTGCTGGGGCTGCAGGCCTGCAGAGCGGCCCCCAGGTGCTGGCGTCAGCACGCTCTTTCCCAGGATTCACGTGGCAGGGTGACCACCTGGGCTTATGCAGGTGCTCGGTTTCAGAGAGGAGCTTCCACCTCGTGTTGGTGTCACGCTGAGTCTTCTCTACCTGCCGGCGCCCCCAGACCACTCCAGATGTACAGGAGTAGGCTTCCCAAGTGCCCCCAGGGCAAGGGATTCCCAGTGGCGAAGCTAGGGAGAGCCTGTGGCATTGTCATCTATTTGCAAAGGGCACTAGGATGTGTGATTAAAGTATAAATACAAGCCAGAGTCTAATTTTAACAGAGACAAGTGACTGTCCTTTACCTGGAGTCTGGCATGGACTTGAGTCTACCCCCCACTGGGTTAGGGGTAGACCAGGTTTGTGGTCACTCACTTTTCTATCCCATGATTGCTCCCTGGCCTCAGTCCAGATTATCATCAGTGCCTTGGGTCTCAAAAGGGTATGTCTTGAGACCTTAGCATCCCCAGATGTATCACTCTCTCAGGGACCCCCCCCCCGGGTACCTATGCAATGCTCAGCACTGTGGTAGAGCCAGGTCGTAGTAGGTATTCAAACTGTTTATTACACAAGAGGAGATAAAAATATAAGAAGAAAAACCCCTAGCCATTGAGGAATTTATGATCCAGTTGGGGGGACCAGACACATAACACAGGTGACAAGTGAAAACATCGATAGAGTTCAAATAAATGCAAGGTTGGGTACAGATTGGCACTGTAGGAATAAAACCCACTGAAGTTAGCAGTGATAAGACCCATGTGTTATTTGTTGGGAGGTAGAAAGACCACTTCCAATGGGATAGAAGGCCAGTTCTGACACTGGTCATATCACTAGCTGGACCTCATCATGGGTTTGTCAGATGTCTTTGTTCTGAAGCCTGACTTGCCCATTGTGGAGTTCAACCCCCTCCCTGCTTCTCAGGCCTGCTCCCACCTCTACACATGGTCTCCTTTTAGTGGTAACACCTGGCTTCCCTTTCCCTTCAGATGTGATACAGACATTGGTCTGTATTGCTAGAATATTCTCTGGTATTCTGAGCACAAAGTGGGGAGGTAAATCTTGTTGGTGGACTTCAGTCTCTCAGGTGGATTAGACTGGACATTGAAGGGGTTAGATTTACATATGATTCAGTCCATAGAAGAGAAGGAGCCCTGACAGGCAAGTGCAAATCAAATATATGGAAAGCTACACAGACCACATCAGACCATCCCTGATGTAGAAGTCCCCAGCCCACCCAGCTACCCCCAAAGGTCCAGGCTCCAGATTCCTCACCACAGAAATGCCAGATAACTTTGAAATCTTGGCTTTAGGCTTTCTCTTTGTCTTGCTACAAAATAAAAAGGGATATCCCTTTCTTGAAAAGTAATCCTTGGGGGTGCCTGGGGTGTCTCAGTTGACCGTCTGACTCTTCCTTTCAGCTCACTCAGGTCATGATTTCACGGTTCATGGGTTCACGCCTCGAGGCGAGCTCTGTATTGACCGTGCAGAGCCTGCTTGGGATTCTCTCTCTCCCTCTCTCTCTGCCCCACCCCCTCTCACTCTCTCAAAATAAACTTTAAAAAAAGTTATCACTGAACAAGAGTTAGAACTATAGGGTTGGCCTATAGCCCTGAATGTATATTGAGGATCTCCCTTTAAGGAGAAAGATCTTGTTTCTGCAGAGTTTAGTAAGAAAGGCAGGAGTGGGGCAGGGGACGGAAGGTGTGGAATCCCTCTACAGCACTCTACAGGATCATGTTCTTGGATCTGCCCCTGGTTCCAAGAGGAATCCTGAGCCACCTGAATCTTTCCTCCAGAGAGATGTGGCGTGGGGTCGCAGCTACAGAGAGAAGTCTGTAGGATGTGCCATCAGTATGGGAGTGGCAGTCTGCTGTGAGGATGGGGCCTCTGTGACAGCTAGGCTGTCCTTGTGTTTGACTTCCCATCCAGCCAGCCCCCTTTCTCAGGGCATAGCAAAGTCACTTTGGCCACCAGGGTGATTCCAGTGGGCTGCCCACTTAGAAACATAACTGCCAGTCCACCTTAATACAGCCCCTTGGACCATGGATGATCTCTATTTTCTGAGAACCGGATGCACTCAACAATTATCCATGGCCATGCGGCAAACCCATGCTCCACAGAACACAAGTGCAGGCTTCTCACTGGAGCAGAGATGAAGAGCCCACTCTGAAGAGTCCCATCTGGTACCACTAATGGGGTGGGAGCCAAACAGAGACTGGTACCCTGGACAGCGGCTGTCCCAGGTTGCAGGGGCAGGAAACCATGTGGTCCGTGCAGCAGCCCTACATCTGGACAGTCTCCCGGAGGTGCTCACATCCATCCTGCTCTGTATGCCTGGGCACACCTAATCCATGCACAGCAGGGGAGTGGCCTTGCCTTGGACTTAAGGTTGCTAGCACTGCAGATTATCTAATTAAGCACTGTCAGGTTTTAGCTCCAAAACCCATCTTATTCAAGGACTTTCACCCACTACTTAAAATCACCCCATGCAGCTAACCATTTATGAAGGTGTTTCTGCCCCTTCTTGTTGACAATTCAGGTTCAGTAGCTTCCAAACAATTATAGGAGTCATTGGTTCACTGAGTATGATGGGCTAGCATTACAGCTGTTGCTCTCCACATTCCTTGGAATTGAAGTCAGCATTTACTGAGCATCGTAGGGGCCAGCTGCCAGAGTCCCTGTTGTGGGGTGATATGGAGGAAGCAGGCTTCTCCACAAAGTGCTTAGTGATTCAGTTGGGAAAACTGAATACACATGTTCACACACACCCCAAAAAAACCAAAGGTAGCTCATTAATCTCCTTAATAAGCATGTAATTATTATGTATTAGCCTTAAGAAGTACATAAGTGTTATGGTGCTGGTTTCCTTGGCTGCTGAAACAAAATCCCACAAACTGGATGGCTCAAAACAACAGAAATTGATTCTCTTGTAGTTCTGGAGGTCAGAAATCAAAAAGTAAGGTCCCAACGGGGCCATGCTCTCTTAAAGGCTTTTGGGGGGAATCTCTTCCATGCCTCTCTCTGAGCATCTGGCATTGCCAAAAACCCTTGGCATTCCTTAGCTCCAGTTCCTTGACTTGGCACTGTATGACTCCAATCTCTGCCTCCATCGTCATGTGGTATTGCCCTGTGTGTGTGTGTGTGTGCGCACGCGCACATGCTATCAATCTCCTTGTAAGGGCACCAGTTGTATTGCATTAGGGCCCATCCTTATGACCTCATCTTGACTTTGATTTTATCTGCAAAGATCCCGTTTCTAAGTCACATTCACAGGGTACCAGGCTTTGGACTTCAACGTATGTTTTGTGGGGACATCATTCAACCTGTAGCACAGTGTATACATATTTATATGCCTAAGGACCTGGGAATGAAGTTATGGAAACGGTGAAGACGGGCAGGAGGGTAATTTACGGAGAGCTTCCTGGTGGCCTGAAGTAGGGTACTACATTCTGGAGGCGGGAAGAAAGCAGACACAGAGCAGGGAGTGTGGGCAAAACGAGCATGTCTTCTGTGGTTGAAAATATCACCATGGGACAGCTGCCTGTGGTCCCTGCTCACCTCTGTCTCCTCATCCGTGCAGGTGGAACAAGCAAAGAATGACCTGGATTTGGACCAGGATGCAGATCTAGCCTACAACAGTCTGAAGGTAAGATTGTCGGCCAACAAGTTCCCCAAACTCGTACCCTGTGGAAGATGGGTGAGCAAGTCTGTGCATAGGTGGAGCCATAAGCGGGCAACTTGATCCTTCAGTTTCTTCATCTGTGAGATAGAGGCAAATGTGTACTTACTACAAGGAGCCATAATCTCTACTTACAGGAGACACCAACTATAGGTGTCCCACAGTTTAGTTCAACATGGGCCCTAACTACCTGCATTTAGGATAGACCCCACTGGTCAGTGCCCTCGTCCCTTAAGACTGCCCTCATTTCAGATGCCAGTCACATTGGTGAGTCCCCAGGTTACCCACACTTCGGTCCACTTAGCTACCAATCGGGTTCCCGTGACCCCCCTCCTCAGGTTTGATCACATGTTAGAGCAGCCCACAGAGCTCAGGAAAGCATCTTATTCGCTACTCCTGGTTTATTCTAAAGGCTGCAGCTCGGCAGGCGAATGAAGCAGGCACAGGTGTGTGGGAAGGGGCCCAGAGCTTCCAGGCCCTCTCCAGGTGTGCGCTCCCCCCACACCTCCATGTGCTCGTCAACCAGAGGCCCTTGGAACCCTTCGCCTACGGGTTTCCATTACACAGGCACCAGTGATAAAATCATTGGCCATTGGTGTTCAGCTCAGTCTCCAGCCCTCCTCTTTCCCTCTCCAGGCATCTGTGGGTGGGGCTGTAAGCCCCAGTGCTTGGATCTCAGGATTGGTTCCCAGGCACCTGGTCCCTCTCCTCATTGGCATGAACTAGCTGGGGATGAAAGGGACTTATTATGACTAACAAAGGACACTTCTCTCACCCTTATCAGGAAGCGCCAAGGGTTTTAGGACCCCTGAGCCAGGAACCAGGAGCTAAGACCAAATAGAACAAAAGATGTTCCTCTCACCTCTGTCACTAGGAACCTGGGCCAGAGGCTAAATATATGTTGTTATGTCACATATGTCTTACTTGATACAGTTTGAGTTAAAGGAACATGTGGACAGTGGGGTGAATTCACTTTGAAAAGAGATCCAGACTTGCATGGAGAGATGTAAGGCAGAGGGATGTCCCTGTGCACGCAGTGCTGGCCCAGCGAGAGCTGGTGAGATTGGAGGGTGCAAAGCCTCAGGTCCCAGGGTGAGCAGGCCTATGTTTACTACAGTGATGGGGGTGCTAGGCCTCCAGCCATGGAGGGGGGCACAGGAAAGGGCATCATAGCATTCCCCCTCCCCTGCTTCCATTCCCAGGGGCTTGGGAATTGATCCAGTCTGGCAGGGTCAGTCCGGTCCCACTCACAGAACCACAGATAACTCTGGTCACCACTACATTACCCCAGGAGAACAGCCCTGAATCATGCCCATGGCTTTTTGAACAATTAGGGTCACAGAAGTGGGTGCTTTGTAAGGGTTTTCCTTTTTTGAGTTACTGATTTAGACTTATTTTCCACATGTGATATTTAAAGGTTTAAAACCCCGTGAGAAGGGGAGTGGGTGTGACAGATGTCTGTGGTGCATGCCTTCTGCATGCCGTTCCTCAGCTGCCTTCCCCAAGCAAGTGAACGGCAGGCTGTTTTAGAACTAGAAAAGATAAGGGGCATCTGGGTGGCTCCGTGGGTTAAGCATCCAATTTCGGCTGAGGTCATGATCTCGCTGTTCATGAGTTTGAGCCCCGCGTTGTGCTCTGTGCTGACAGCTCAGAGCCTGGAGCCTGCTTTGGATTCTGTGGCTCCCTCTCTCTTTGCCCCTCCCCAACTCATGCTCTGTCTCTGTCAAAAAACATAAACATTAAAAAAAAAAAAAAAAAAAAAAAAAAAAACGGTAAAGTGGGTCTAGCCCAGTGGGCCTCCAGGAGTGGTCCTGGGACCAGCATCATGGCAGGCATGCTAAAAATGCAGATTCTCAGCCTCCTCCCAGACCTGTATCACAAGCTCTGAGGTGGGGCCCAGCAGTCTGTTCTCAGCCACCTGCCTGAGGTTTCCATTGCCCACTCAAGTCTGAGAGCCACTCTTCTAGTCTATGGGCAAAGTCCTGCCTCCAGGACTCCCATCTTAAAGTCTGCCTAAAAACTCGCTCTGCGTTCGGCTCCTGGGGAAGATGCCCCACGCTGTTCCTGCAGGCTACATCTCCACTGCTAGCTCAGGGCCTGGCTCAGAGAGGGCTCAATGAGCACTTGTCCCAGACTCTAGAAACTCCATCACCATTCTGCTCTGTTAGGCCAGAATTCTGAGGTTATAAGACCTGGTTTTCCCTTCGTTGTCTCTGGTGAAACCTGACTTAACTTTTGCACTGTCTCAGAGGCTGGTGTCCGGGAGGACCAATGCTGGGGAGGCTGGTTGCATTTCTTCTCACTTAACAGACCCAGATGCTGAAGGAAACAATGAAAAACGGGGCTTTTAGGCAAAGCCCTGTCAGCCTGTATTTAATGGGCCCCTGCTGTGTGTCCAGCTGAATGCTTCCTGAAGGCACGAGGGAAGGAGCTGTCCTCTGCCCTCCCAAAGTGTAGGCTCTGCCTGAGCAGACCAAGATCAAAGCAGATCATGAGTCTGCACACCAGACTATTCAGCCCTCTTTTCCAACCCGATCCTTACCAAATTGGATTTGAAAAACCTGCCCACAAGTACGTGGGTGAGATGAGCCTACTCTGGGAAGGACCCCTTGACAAGTAGTGATTTTTGCTGAAACAACCAGAATTTCAGAAGTTCCCGCTGATCCTTCTGTAACGCATAAAGGGACAGAAGCACACCATTTGGGTACTGGTCTCAAGGCTTAGACATGCCCTCCCTGTGGGGGTGAGATGGGGCAGAAGGGTCCTTGGGCTGGTTGCACCTGGCAGAGATTGCTGGAGGAGGCCTGATATAATGTGGCCAGGCAAGGTGGGATCAGGTGTCCAGAATCGTGGGCTCTAGCCCTGCCAGAGGTTCCTAAACTCACTGTGAGTCTTCTCTGCTCCGTCCTTAGCTCTCTCATTCAGAAAATGAAAAGATTATTTAGATGGTCTCCTAGTTTTGTGGTCCTATGTCTCTGTAATAATTGTGCAACCAATCCCCACTTACCCACCATTTGGGGGGAAATTTTGAATCCCATATATCCCAAGACCCTAAGAGTATTATATATGTGAGTACCAAACTTTCTATGGTCTGACTTTGTGAAATCCAAAGCTAAATATTACACCCAGGAAACTTAAAATACATTCTAAAGTTGTTTTGATGGCATTTTTGCACACAGATAGCTTTTCTTCTGGCATTGACAGTTGGTGGCTTTCCGTGTGACCAAAATAACAAAAGTGCGTTCCTAATATACTCTAAAACATTGGTCTGTGTGGTGCTCCTTGGAATAAGGGCATCGGGTAGGAAGGCTCTCTAGACAGCTAAGTTTGGGAAATCCTGGGATTTTTATGCTCTCTTAGAAAGTCACAAAGTACATCAATAAGTTTCTAGGAAGTCTAATGTTAAAAGCATGTTGTTTAAAATTAACCTGGCATTTCCTCAAGGGTAGGTTTCATGGCCAGATACACTTAGAGATAGGAACACTATTAATCTGTTTGGGGAATGCTGTCATAGAGGCCTCAGGTCAGATGCTTCACCCCAATAACTTAGGGTTGTGGGTTCAAATCCAGGCCCCAGTTTTAACTATTACTGAACTTTTCTCATGGGTTTTAGTGTTAAAACGAGAAGGTTGCTCCAAGCTTCACAGGAGGGACAGGGCAGGCTGATTCCGGAAGGTGGAGGAGGAAGCCCACATGGGGAGAGGAGACTGTTCTAGGTCCAGAAGGAGATGGAGTGTGCTGCTCGGGCTGTCTTCCAGAGGCAAGAGCTAGAGTCGGAGAACAAGAAGCTGAAGAACGACCTGAACGAGCTGAGGAAAGCTGTGGCTGACCAAGCCACACAGAACAACTCCAGCCACAGCTCCCCCGACAGCTACAGCCTGCTGCTGAACCAGCTCAAGCTGGCCAACGAGGAGCTTGAGGTTCGCAAGGAGGAGGTGCTCATCCTGAGGACGCAGATTGTCAGCGCCGACCAGCGCCGACTCGCCGGCAAGAGCACGGTAACAAGATGGCAGCCCAGTTGGGCTTGCCAGGGGGCGACACTAGGTAATACGGACGGTGTTTTGCTTACGTAGCTTTACCCGTGAGCACTTTAAACCTAAAAAAATGCAGGCGCGCTGACTCTAGGGTCTCGTCTAAAGGGAAAGCAAGGTACTTGCTGCCTTCTCAGCATTACCTTTCATGGGAGATTTTGCTGGAAGTCTCTAGAATCTTCTGAAGTTAATATGAACATGTTCAAAAAGAACAAGGCACAGAATTAGAAACAAGGGCAATGGCCTGAGCAGCCCCCTTGGCCTTGTTTTTCACCCCATGCTTTGTGTCTTGCTGTTTGATTCTGAGGTAGAGAAAGTCTTTTCCTCTAAGCCCACCCAGGGTGGCAAGTCCAGCTTAGCATTTGTTCCTAATGTTTTCACCTTCTGGGACAGAGTGGGGAGTGGGAAAGAGGGGACAGAGGCCACCGGGATCAACTCTGGACACGGCCCTAGGATGACTTAGAGGCGGATAAGTAGGCAGTCATGAGTGTGGAGGACCAACACTGAGACAGATTTTCACCCTGTCCTTCGGATTTGGGGGGTGCTGTCACCCCAGAGACACAGTCACTGCCATCCTCCCTCACAGTCCAAGTTCGGGGCTTTTGCAGCCAGGCCTTGTCATTCTGTGCCTTTGAAAGTACCATTCCTGCCTGGGTTTAACTGCTGTTATCCGAGGTCATCCTGAGCCTTTGTTTTTTCCCCAAAAGCTTGTTTTTTGTTTTTTTATTTTTCTTAATGTTTGTTTATTTTTGAGAAAGAGAGATAAGTGAGGGAGGGCAGGGAGAGAGAGGGAGATGCAGAATGCAAGGCAGGCTCCAGGCTCTCAGCTGGAGAGACACAGCACAGAGCCCAGTGAGGAGCTTGATCTCATGAGCCGTGAGATCATGACCTGAGCCAAAGTCAGATGCTCAACCAACTGAGCCACCCAGGCACCCCTCAAAAGCTTGTTTTTATGCCTCTGTATATACAAAGTCTATAAAGTCGTTTTGCAACAGTTGTTTATGTAACCAGAGTTACTTCTCTTTTAACCTGGGACCTTCTAGGAGCCGAACATTAATGCCAGAACAAGTTGGCCTAACAGTGAGAAGCATGTAGATCAGGAAGATGCCATTGAGGCCTATCATGGGGTCTGCCAGACAAACAGGTAAGTCCCCCCTCATGGTAACTAGAGGAGGCAATGGAAAAGGGTCTTGCCCAACCTGACATGTGATGGCTGTTTCTCAGACACTCTTCAGCATCAGGGTTTATGTATTATAGGAGGTAAACGAGAAGGAGCAGACTCTGAATCCCATGCCCTTAGCAAACCACTTGTCAGCTTCAGCAAGACTCCAGTAACACAGCTGGGGCATCCAGAACCCAGATCTTATGAAGAGCTTTTGGAAAGGGAGCCTCCCTGGAAGTGTGGACAGGAGGAGCGAGAAGGACCAGCTGAGAGTGGCTTTTCCCCTAGAGGGAAGCCAGCACCAGATGAGCCCAACTAAGTCCTGGGAGGGGCTGCTCCTGCTCCAGTTCTTCGCTTTTTTATTGCTTTTTAGAGCATGTGTGTGTGTGGGGCGTGAAGAGGGGCAGAGGTAGAGAATCCCAAGCAGGCTCCATGCTGTTAGTACAGAGCCCAACGTGGGGCTTGATCCCATGAGCTGCAATCAAGAGTCAGATGCTCAACCAACTAAGCACCCCGCCCCCACCAGGCACTCCTTTATCTTTGCTTTAATATTAGCTTTACTCAACCCAGCTGGTGGGCCCCAGTGCCTGTCATTTAAGAGATGGAACCCAAGCTAGGCACCCCAGAGGTTGGGTGGAAGAACTTGACCCCTATCATACTGGCTCAAATGAGTTTTCCCTGGACTTTAGTGAACAGACCTCTAGTCCCTCCTTAAGAATGAACTGCCCAGGGGCACCTGTGTGGCTCAGTAGGTTAGGCATCTGACTTCAGCTTGGGTCATGATCTCGCAGTTTGTGGGTTCGAGCCCCGCTTCAGGCTGTGTGCTGACAGCTCAGAGCCTGGAGCCTGCTTCAGATTCTGTGTCTCCCTCTCTCTCTGCCCTCCCCTGTTGCACTCTCTCTCAAAAAATAAATAAACATTAAAAAAAAAATTAAAAGATCTGCCCGGGTTATGGCCAGGGAACCTGACTGAGGGAGGCAGCAGGGCCTGGATGAGACCCCAGGGCCCTATGGCAGAATGCTTGCACTCTGGAGTCCACTCGCCAACTACTTAGTAACTCCTTTATAACCACTCAGTGCCTCAGTCTCCTCCTCTGAACCGGGGACAGTCACAGCAGTGTACTTCGCATGGAGATTGAGAAGGTCAGGTGAGTTAGTCCACGTCTTGTACTGAGAACACTTTCTGCCGTTATTACTGTCTTTGCCTCTCGGGGCCCCTGTGGGCACCTGTAAGAACAGAGCCAGCCTTTTCCCTGGCTACCTTTCTCTCTCGCCTCAACTCACCGACGTGATCAGTCACGAAGCGTTTGTACAGAATTGATGAAAACCGCAAGCACATCTAGAACCCGTCAGCAGGTGCCGCTAACTGCAACATGAAGTTGTCAGCAAGAATTGTCAGGGACTTGAAGACTTTAACGCTGTGATTTACACGTCTTCTAAACTAGCCCATTTCTGCAGATAGGGAAACTGAGGCCCAGAAGGGATGAGCTACTCTGGCAAGCAGCCAGCCTGAAACTGAGTCAAGGTACAATCCAGAAGGCCTGACTGCCAGGCCGGGCCGCTTCCCGCGCACTGTGTAGGTAATCAGAAGATGCAGGCATTCTAGCAAGACCCCCCAGAGGAAAGTAAATTTCCAGAGAGACGCGATTCTGGTCCCCAAAGGAGAGAGAACAGGAAATGAAGGTGACCCTCTCAGTGCTGAAACTGGAGTCCAGATTTAGTCATTCAGAATTATCTTGGGTGAAGAAATACACTGAATAAGAAAAAAGAGCACAGGTGATACTTGGAATTAAAAAAGGGGAGAGCAGGGAGGACAAGCTGGACCTTGACAGGCGAGGGAGTGCTTATCTTTCTGATCTTCTGCTATTATCAACTCTCAGCTCCCTTTTTATTCACCTAAATGGTTGTCCGGGGATCCAGTCCCAGAGGCTGCTTCCTACCCTGGATTTGTCTTCCTTTGCAGCAGTAATAATGCTGGTGATAAAATAAAAATAGCTTTTCTTAGATGTTAAAATAATTCCATTCCCCAGTCAAGCCTAGGGTACAATAGGGAACTAATAGCCTGTGAAACCAAGTACAGGAAGGAGCCTTTGGAAGCCTGAAGAACCAGTTCCCCAGTGCCTGCCACACTTGGAAAGCGAGCTTTGTGGTTTGTGCCTCACCCACACCGTGATCTCTGCAGTGAGAGAGGATGGCGGCAGGCAGGTGGACAGGGCAGGAGGATGCAGGCTGTGATTGCTGGAGCTCGGCAGCCAGGACATCGGTTAGGAGGGCCACCCCTGGGATAAGAGTGCCCTGAAGGCCGAGCTGCGGTTCCTCTCCTGTGATTTCCCTCTGAGAGAGAGTGTTCTGGTTTGAACAGAGGTGGTATTATGCATGTGTGATTTGGGGTGGGAGGGATTGCAAAAATCGATCCTCTCGCAAGGAAAAGCTTACAGTGCTGCACTGAATTTTGCTTAGGTTTCTGGAGGGATTCTAGACACTCTCCCATGCCCAGTCATCGCCTCTCTCAGAATCCACGGTCCTTCAATTTGGAACTTCTCTCCCTCGCTAACTTCCAGAGTTTTATGGAGTTCTGTTTGATCGTTACAATTGTCTTTTCCTTTGTTTTCAAGTTTGGGAGGGAGGCCAGTTAGGAGGGTCGGCTCTGGGGGGAGACACAGGAATGTGGCTAGCTCTTCCACTTACAGAAAGTGCTCCCATTTTCACATTCTGGGAACTAAGAGAAACCAGCAACATTATTACCATTTTCTGTATGGCCATAGTCAAGTCAACCAGGCATGTGCTCAAGGTCGCGGAGCTAAGGAAGAGCAGGCATGTGTGGTGAGAGCTCAGGTCTGGGTCCAGCAATGGTGCCCCTTTGGCCACCAGCCATTTCCGCTCAAGTCTGTGGAACTCCAAAGGGAGACTTAGAGCGCATTGTTGGACCTTTGCTTGTGTCCCAGGAAACTGCAGCCCCACCTCCCAGCAGGTTCCAAGAAACAACAGGAGGCCCTCGGCACAAAAGGTAGCTTTGCCTGATGCCACCTGGGCTTGGACAGATAAACCTGGGGTTATTACTCACCCCCTAATGGGCCTGCTTGGGACACTGAAGATCCTGTTTAACCAGACAGGGGTGTGTGCGGACTCCTTAGGATGGGCTCGGAGTTCTGTGGCTCCTTTGGCCCTGAGCCCCAGCTGCTGTGGGATGTCTGTCTCAGAAGAGCAAAGGAGCAGGAAGAGCCTCATGCTCCCCAACTCCCTCCTCTCAAGTGCTCACTGTAACTGTTCCCGGCTAGAAACTCTCGGCTTCCTTCTGTGAGGTGATCATGCCCTCCTAAGGTTTCCCAGGATTCAGTGGGTCCCAAGCCATCAGCGTAATTCCTGTCTGCGGTAATTCAGTGGTATATTTGTCCACAGACCGTCTTATTCATGGCATTGGGGTTGCTGCCTCCCTTTCTCAGAGATTGCAGAGAATCTCCTGGGCAGTTGGGTAGAAAGTCTAGGTGTGAGCTACAGAAATAAGCATATCTGTGGAGCACCACATGCTTTTTTCCGAAACCGAAAACTGACCATCATCATGCTCATAGGAACCTTGCCTGTTTCGACAGGGAGGCAGGTCCTTGGGCCAGGACAGAGGGATTGCTGTTGGGTCATAGTCCTGATGTTCTCCACAGAGGGAAAGCAAATATTATCCTAGGCCTTTTCTGCTGCCTCATATTTACAGTTAATAAGGTTATGTAATAAAAGATATAGAAGAAACCTCAGATCGGTGAGCTGAGCACTTTCATCATAATAGGCCCGGGACATGTAGGCAATGACCACAACATGCCCTTTTGGGTGCCGGTTCTCCAGTCTCCTGCAGTTGGAGACTGTACCTGCGGCTTATTCAAGTGCATCTGCAGCCTCTTTGGGAACGGAGCTCAGCACAGTCGTGTGTACCCAGGAGATTTTCCGTGAACGTTTGTTGATTTAATTGACGTAGGTACTTTACATTTAAAAAAAAAAAATTCCTGTAAGCTGTCGTTTGGGGTTTTCCTTCTCATGCCACCAGGTGGCGCTCCCTCCCAGGCCTTCGGTCCTAATAGCGCGCAGAGGGGAGGGAGAATCTCTCGGACGAATTGGTTCTCTTTCATCTAGCAACAAAGGCTGGACCTGGAGCTGGTTGACTGCTTTTTAATTTACTGGTTTGCCTGACTTCCTGAGCACGGTGGGATGACGGGCCCTCACAGTCTCCCCTTTTATCTTTGTGCATACTGCCTGGCGTGTTTCAGAATTAAGAATTCTGAGAGTGTCTCCCCCTGAGCAGGAATTCAATGCTCACTTCCTCACTGTGTAACTCGGCAACACACAGGCACAGGCAGAGGGTGAGCGGTGGCACTCAGTCTGCCATCGAGGGAACTATAGGAACGCGGTGACCCTCCAGGAGAGAGCCAGCAGCCCTCCTCGGGGCATGAGGGCCAGCCGGTGTGGCAGGGAAAGAGCCAGAGGCCAGGTGCCAGAGCCCACCTGGGTTCTAGCCCAGGTGTCAGTGTCAGGCAAGTCCTCTCCATCTTGGGGTCTCTCCACACATGGCGAACAGGATGGTTGGAGCAAAATACCCTGCATTCCTACTCAGCAGCGATGCCTCCCCGCGGCTGCCTGTTGGGTTAAAGCCCTAGCTACTAAAGGCCCTAGTTAAATGTGTTAATAGTTGAGAAGGGCAAAGGGGCTAAGCTGTCAGCTCCCCCTTGACGCGGCCCAGCTCACTTTTTGCGTTTGCTAGGATAAATGGAACACCCAGGCGGGGTAAGTGCTAAGCACGGGAGGGGACAGCAAAAAGTCTACAATAAAAGGCAGTCTCTGGGGAGGCCAGGCCTAGGTGACCGGTCTGGACATTTGAGGAGCTAGAGTCCCAAGTGAGAGAGGTCCCCAGTATATGCTTGTTGGCAGTAACCCCCACACTGCCCAGCCAGATGGAGCACAAGTTGTGACAGTAAAGGGTAGGCTTGGGGCACAGAAGCCAGAGTAGCACCAGAAGCAAGCTCACTGTGGTCTCTGGCTCCTGCCCTCTGCTTCAAGCTTTTCAGCGTAGGACCTGGTAGCCACGTGACCAGCTTTACCCAAGAAGCAGCTTATGTGAGTGGTGCAAGGCCCAGAGCTCCTCTCCACGAGGCTGAGCTCCTGGGAGGTAAAGTGGGCAGCTGCACCCCCTGGACCTCCCGCGAAACCCAGCAGGAGCGGTACTGTGGCTCCTGGGGACAACTGTTTCTCCCCTGTGAGTTAGGGAGGGGTTGCTGGTCCACGTACACCATCTGTAGCTCCTTTGCGATTCCTGCTGGGATCCAACCAGCAGGAGAATCCCTAGGAGCAGAGAGGGAGGGGCAGGTTCCCAGCGGGTATAGACGAGGCTCACCTGCTGCCCTATCCCACTGGACTTTTCGTGTCTCCTGTGTACCCAGGGCTGTGAAGGTGGGGAGGTGCGTGGATGGGGGAGCACGGGACGCGTGCCTGATCCCCTGGAGCTGCCCTTCCGGCATCGGGCAGACACGGGGCAACTGGGGAGGGCAACTGGCCTTCTGCATTCCAGGTTGGGTCAACAGGAGTAACGCACCCCAGTCCCCGGGCAGAACAGAGAACGTTCAGTTGGCATCCCGCTTGGCACCGTTGTTATTAGTGGTTTCTTTCTGTCCGAGTGCACTGAGGGCCGGAGGTGAGATTAGCTAATGCTTTTTGTGTCCTTAGTGACAGAAGAGAGCAGCACTGAAAAGCAGACAGTAGGTAGCCATCTTCCTCATCATCACTGAGCCAGACGTCCGGGTACAGCCAGATGCAGCATCCCAGGAGCCCCTCTGCAGCCTCCACTGCGCATGGGGCCTCCTCTCCCTGCCCTGTTTGCATCTCTCCTGATTCTCCCTTTTCTTTTCTGAATCCTTCTGGTCAGAGGAGGGGTGGGGGCAAGGGTGGAGTGTGACAGCAAGGAAATGCCTCTGCCCAGCCTGCACCACTGCGGGTTACAGAATTTACTGGGACAGGTGCAACCCTTTGCTCTCCTCTGCAACATGCTCCCCAGCCTCTCATGATCCATGAGCCCCCATGAGTGTGCACGAACCCCCTTCTGAGACCCAGCCTGGGGGAGAGGTGATGTTCTTAGGTGCTCAGGTGCTGGTTATAAGAAAGAAAGAGAAACTTGGGGGTTCTTGAGCTTTGCCTTGGTTTCCAAACCTTGGCTGAAATGGCCTCGCTTTCCTGGTCTGTCTGCCTCCCTGTCTCTTCCCTCTATACTGGATGCCCTCTTTTTTGTCCTTTATTTCTAGCAAGACTGAGGATTGGGGATATTTGAATGAAGATGGAGAGCTCGGCTTGGCCTACCAAGGCCTAAAGCAAGTTGCCAGGTCAAATATACACCTTTCTGCCTCTGCCTGCTTTGTCTGTTCCGCCTGCTCATGTCTACGCTTAACTGTTTCTCAGCTGGAGTGGAGGCAAGGGCACGACTCACAGGGGCCCCTCGGGTTACCCGGCTGGCACTCTGTGTTCAGGCTGTGTGGGTGAGATTGGAGAGGCTGTTTGGCGGGGTCCAGGCAGTAGCACCTGATGTCGCGATAGAACCTTCCTTGGGGCAAGGACACTGATGCTTCAGTGGAAGATCCAGAACTTGAATCTGGTTCCACTTGACATCAGAATCTGAATCCATAAGCCATTGGTCTTCAGCTGTCAGTGACCAGTTCGGCAAGGGAGGTAAGACATGCGTGGAAACAGCAAAACGTGTTGGTCCTGGCCCTCCATCGGCTGCCAGCGTGTGGCTCGTTAGGACTATGGCGTACCTTTGTGCATCCCAGCAACAGATGGGGCGGTGGTCTGCAGGCCTGTTCCCCAGAAAAGGAAACTGAGGTGGAGTGGGTGCTGGCCCAGCTCACTCACCCTGGTGATAGCAGAGTGGGGATGGAACCTGATGGCCTCACACACTATCTCCAAAGTTTTGCCTGCTGATGACCTCGTGGCAGTCCCATTACAACAAGAACGTCTGTTCCTGGGAATAGAAAGTCCAGGTCAACTGGTTCTCGAGGCAGTGTGTCTCTAGTGGCCCCACTGCCTGGGAATGAGGTGACCTCTGTCTCTTCCCTTGGTGGTCTAATGTGGATCAGAACAGCACCTGCCTCATGGAGTCGTTATAAGGAATAGGGTTAACACAGGTGAAGCATTTTGCATGTGCCTGGCATGTAGTAAGCACAGAATGAAAGCTGATGCTTCCGTTCCAATGGCCATTATTCAATAAGTTCTGTCCCACCCAGAAGTTTAGTTTATTAGAGCAGGATCCTCCGTGTAAAACCAGGTGATTCCTTGTGGCTCTCTATCAGTAGATTGGGTGTTTTTTTTTTTTTTTAATAAGCACATGAATGCGTTCACAAAACTGAAAGTGCAGACCTATGCATCAGGATTCCTGGCTTCTAGAACCAGCTGTGTCACTGGCTGTGGCCTCAGATCTCTTGACCTCAGATGAGGTGTCTAGTCTGATGCTTGGGCAGGGATTCTCAGACCTTGCACAGAACCCTGGGCTAAGCCACCCAACTGCAGCCTGTGTGGAGAAGAAAGACGGGAGTACAACCTCACAGCACAAATCAGGAGCTGATCCTTGGGGTGGAGTCCCTAGAACCTAGGTATTTCTATTCTGTCTCAGTAGGTTCATGACTTCCTGGTGATGCTTTTAGTGTACTGTAGCCAAGATTGGATATTCTCTAAATATCGTGTGTCCTCTAAAATGCTGATGTGATTATAGAACTGTGCTCCACAATCCACATGTCAGTAGCTCTTTCAGTTGGTGAGGCAGCCTGTGGTGAATGGGTGAATCAGTCATTTCTCCATCGTTTCTTCGTTTGTGTGAGCATCAAGAAGCCCCTGTGAGCCAGGCATTGCAACAGTGCCACTGTGGGGCCGACAGAGCTACAGAAGACCTGGGCGTGTCCACGGGGGAGTTGACAGCCGACTTTCTCTCTCTCTCGAGCTCTCACTCTCTTGCTCTTTGGGAGACTTGCTCCCTCCTGTCTTGCAGCCAAACTAGCAGAACTGTAAAAAACATGGCTCTTTGCCTCCCTGCCTCCAGGGCAGCTGGGAGACTCTTACTGGTGTTTCTGGAGCACTTCCGGGTTCCTGACTCTGCTAAGCTCTGGTCACAATCTTTGCATCCCCGGAAAAGACCGGAGTGAATTTTCAACATATGGACCATGCCAGACTGCTTTTGATGTACCATTTGCCCAGAACCTCCTTCCTTTCTCTCATGTGATTGTTTACTGCCCTGGGTCTTGAATCCGAGAAGGTAGCTCCTAGTTCATAGTAGTGCGCCCTGAGGAGAAGCCTGCCTAGGAAGCCTCTCTAGTCCCTTGCCTTCTCTTATGATGGAACAGGTGCCTCCCAGGATTGCCCAGGTAACTTTTAGACTCAGAGTCTTCTGAGACGTGTCTCCAACTTTCCCCAGATCTTCTCTAGGTCTTTCTGCTTCTGATCATGACACCAGCTGATCTTACACCTTCCCCCAAATGATTTGCAAATAGTCTTAATTTCTGTTTTGACTAGAGATAAATGGTATATTTACAGCCACAGGGGGAGTGGGGTGGCGGTGAAGATAACAAGGAAGGGGGCTGATGTCTTGACTTTCTAAAACTTCGCCGATCATCTAAACAGGGAAATACACAGGTGATAGAATTAGTGCAGTCTACTAGGGTTTTGTCTTAACGAGGAGATTCTCATGCGCTTTGGGCAGATGTAGATAACGTTTGTGTAAATGACGCTGTAAGAAATTTATTTCTGCTGGTGGCATTTTGACATGGAGACAATCTCTCAGTCCCAAACAGTAGACTGCACAGAGTGAGGAATAGGGGAGGGGGTGTCCTGAAAAAGACCAAAGACCAGGGGTGTGTGTGTGGCCCCGAGTTCCCATCCTCAGAGAGGACAGGCTGGCCCGCTTGCCAGTCTGTTCCCCTCAGCGTCCGCGTCCTTCCCCTGTTGGTTCGTGCACTTGCTGCTGCCGTGTGCTTGGCTGCTCCTCTGTTGCGTGTCCATCTGTGGCCCCTCACGTGGGGCGCTGACTCGAGCCCCGTGGCCACCTGCCCTCCTCTCCCCGGTGCAGGTTGCTGGAGGCCCAGCTGCAGGCCCAGAGCCGCGAGCATGAGGAGGAGGTGGAGGGGCTCCGGGCCCAGGTGGAAGCCCTGAAGGAGGAACTGGACAAGCAGCAGCAGACCTTCTGCCAGACGCTGCTGCTCTCCCCAGAGGCCCAGGTGGAATTTGGCGTCCAGCAGGAGATATCCCGGCTCACCAATGAGAACCTGGTGAGTGAAGATGCCCAGCGGATCCTGCTCTGGGAAGAGATGGGGCCAGAGATGGCCTTTTGCCAGAAGGGCAAGGCTTGTGTCCTTGACCCTATTGCAGGCACAGAGAATATAGACACCATCAGTCAGCAAGGGCTTCTGACCTGGCCAGGGCGGGTGGCCACCTCACACTGCTTCCTTTGGATTTTAGGACCTTAAAGAACTGGTAGAAAAGCTGGAAAAGAATGAGAGGAAGCTCAAGAAGCAGCTGAAGATTTACATGAAGAAAGTCCAGGACCTAGAAGGTAGGTGGGCACGGGCGTGAGTGCGTGTGATAAAGCACGTGTGTGCTCAGTCACGAGCGCGGGAAGGGAACTAACTGCTGCTTCCCTCTGCAGACTCATTCTGCTTTACCAGTTTCTTGGTGCCTCTGCCCAGAGCAGTCATGTGATAGAGTAAGAGCTGCCCATGAGCTCCAACGTTCTCTGTTGGCCAGAATCTGGACTAAGATCCATAAATCAGCAGGTGTTGGGGTGCTTATTCTGAACTCTGCACCAAGGCCGTGTCCTTGCCCTCAAAGGACTTAAAGCTGGAAGCAAGACTTTTGGGGGGGGGGGAATGCTACATGACACACAGACCCACACCCCACTCCATGGATGGGTAGTCAGGAAGGAGAGGGGTCAGTCCTATGATTAAATTTCCAAACTGGAATCTGGCCCAGAGAGGTCAGGCAGGTTTAAATTGCTCTTCCAGAAACATCCAGAATGTTCTCTTGCTCTGACTCCTTACTATAAATCGATCGCTCTCCATGCCTTCTTGTCACATGCCACCTACCATGGAATCCTCTCTTGGTGCCCTCACTGCTTGGGTTTCCCCGCCCCCCCCCATCACCGCCTGAATCCCTCCCCTCATCCCTTCACCCTCATCTCAAGAGCCATGTCCCCAGGGCTCGAGGGCTGTGTCTCACTGTCCTAATACCACGTGCCTCTGGGCACAGATGTCAGTTGTTTAATCACCTGTTCATGTCCACCTGCTGCTCCGGAGGAAGCTGTAGGAAGCCAGGACTTATCCAATCGGCCCCTCTCCATCTTTGGATTTCTCGGTTCTCCTTGACTTCTCTTTCTCCTGGTCATGCAGGCTTCAGGTTTCTCCCTTTTGTTCAGTCTTGAAGACCTATCATCAACTCTCCCTGGATGCTTCTGTGCCCGCCCCTCTTCCCCTAGTCCCCCAGCAACAGTGGCAGCCTCCAGTTCCCCACTTGTGCTCCTGCTCCTGTGTATCTGGCCACCTCCTCTTTCCCCATGGAATGAACTGTGCCCTCTCTCCAGTCGCTCCAGCTCACCCCACCCCCACACGGAGCCTCCCCTCCAGCACACCCCTGCCTCTCGGTGCTCACTCTGCCCGCTAGTCTCCTGTGCCTCTGGGAGCCTTGTGTGCCCCAGGGCCCAGTGGGTCAGCTCCTTCCCACCTGATTGTTCAGGTCTCCCCCGCTCCCCCTCAGCCCTTCTCCTCCCTTGAGCTCCAGTAGTTGGTCTGTTCAGCTGCATCACCACAGTCTGCTCTCGGGGCTGGGCACCTGGCCGGGTTGTGTGGTAATGTGTGTTGCCACATAAACGTCTAGATGCATCTCCTTAGCTAGACTGGTAGATCCATGGTGGGATGCCCCATCATGTCTGCCCCCGCACTTAGAACAGTGCCCCGTACATAGGAGGCCCTCAGACACACCTGGGGAGACCCTGCAGGTGCCCACCACCCTGTCACATAGTGTCAGGCCTCAGGAGGCCTGAGGGAGGTTTGACAAGCCTTTGTACCCCCAGCCATGCCAGCGAAATGTCTCTTGTATCCTTTGCAACCTTCTATTGTTGCAAAGACTGAATGTAGCAGTCCTGCTCCTCGATCTGCATTTGGGGGCTGCAGATGGTCTCTTACCTTCTTGTGCCAGTGCCACCACCTTGCTCCCTGTCCACGGTCACAGGTGGTGCCCAGGCCTCGCACACGTGGGGCTGCACTGCAGCTGTCCTGACAGCTGCCCTGTGGCCACACTCAGGGAACTGGATAGGGCGGGCCTGGCCAGGGCCCATGACATCCTCCCAGACAGATGGCAGGTCCCGTTTCTCACAGCTGGGTGGGGGAAACCCGCTCCCTGGCAGGCTGGGCTGTGCAGCCTGTGCCTTCCGCGCTTCCCCAGTTTTCTCTGGTCTGCCTACCTAGTAGAATGTTTCCCCACCCTTGTCCTGCACGGACCCTGGTGCTGAGCAACTTGGGTCACACTTGGAGTGTGGCCTGGGCTGAGGGACAGACCATGAGAGAGATGGGGGAGCTCAGAACGCTGGGTCCCCAGACCCAGGCTCAAACGCCGCTGACCTAAGGCATCCCTGCCTCTTGAGCCTGCAGCCTGGAAGTGTCCCTTCACGCTCCCTGTCTCCTTCCTGCTCAGCTGCCCAGGCACTGGCCCAGAGTGAGAGGAGACGCCATGAACTCAACAGGCAGGTCACTGTGCAGCGGAAGGAGAAGGACTTCCAGGGCATGCTGGAGTACCACAAGGAAGATGAGGCCCTTCTCATTCGGAACCTGGTGACAGGTCAGGACCCTCCGTGACATCTCACCCCGCTCCCCCCCCCCCCAACTCCACTCTGCACTTTGCACCCCCCACCTCCCTCCCAGCCTCAGCCCTCCATCCCCCTCACCTCGCCCGCAGTCGGTTCCGGGCCTGGTTTGCCAGTCACATCGGCTCCCTCCCTCCTAGTCCTGCTCCATCCGGCTTCAATACAGCACCTGCCTGCAGCATGGCGGGAAAAGGCGTGGAGAAGAGAGTCCTGGATGAAAAAAAGGAGGAATCTCTGGTCGCCTGGTCCTCTGGACCCTGAGCCACAAGCTCCTTTCTCTGGAGCCTTGGGTTTTCTGTAAAATGGGGATGAGGCAACTGACCCCCACCTGCCCCCTGTTGTGAAACATAACGGGTGAAAGTCGGTGCTATAGCCACAAATCTTTCTCACACATGAGGGATTTGAAGAAGCAGCAGCTTCTGCAGGGTTGTTTGAAGTTAAAATAAGACCTATGTCAGAGAAACGTAAGTTTACGGAGGTCCCACCCTGTCGGTGCCAGGCCGGGGCCGCAGAAGAAGGGGGTGACTCCAGCCTAGCACACAGTTCGTTTCAGTATTTTTAATAGTTGAGTAACCTTTTTTAAAAGTTAACTTCCGGGGCACCTGGGTGGCTCAGTTGGTTAAGCGTCCGACTTCAGCTCAGGTCACGATCTCGCGGTCTATGAGTTCGAGCCCCACATCGGGCTCTGTGCTGATGGCTCAGAGCCTGGAGCCTGCTTCCAATTCTGTGTCTCCCTCTCTCTCTGCCCCTCCCCCGTTCATGCTCTGTCTCTCTCTGTCTCAAAAATAAATAAATGTTAAAAAAAATTAAAAAAAAAAAAAGTTAACTTCCCCTACCGTTGTCCTACAATTTGACAGGAGTCCTCTCAAATTTCATTAAACAGGCTGCATCTTGTTCTAGTGCTGCTAGGGATGAGCTTCTGATCTGTGGTGAATGGAACTCAATGTTCACGACGTTAGAGTAAAACCAGAATAACGGAGGCTGCGTGTGCCGGCCGGCAGGTGGCTCCTCCCCGCCGCTCGGGCTCAGGCAGCCCCAGACAAGGCCATTTCCTGCCAAGCTAACTACACACAGCACCCGGTCACCTTCCCTCCGCCATTCCGTCCCTCTCGTCATCCAGACGAGTGCCAAGCCTTGATTTGGCCTCCTCTGGGGTGTACCCAGCATTGGCTAGTTGTTGCTGTGGAGGATGGAGAAATGTAGAAATGTAGAACCATTGTCCCTGCCCCCAAGATGCTAACATTCGGCTAGGCAGACCAAGAAACTCTATGGGAAACGGGACTCAAGTCACAATAGGACATTCCAAGACAGGACAAGCTGTTTGTACTCTGCATGTGGGTCAGGCCATTAGGGGAGAGGCTGGTGAGACCCCTGTCATATGGTGGCCCTCCGGGAGGTACAGGCGTGGCCGTGGCCAGTCAGCAGCCTACTCAAGCTATTACCGGCTCTGAGAATGGGCAGCCACTGCCGGCTAAATAGTTTCCACACTGACAGCTGTGTGGACTAAAGGTCCCTGTGGCCTTCCCAGCCTCTGGCACATGGGCTCTGTCTTTGGGAACATGCAATTTGCCAAGTTCTCCCGGGACTCCCTCTCACGAAAGGGCCGTTGTGCCTGTGACAGGCAGCGTGGCCGTGGGCTCAGCGGCCCCACCCTGAGCTCTTGCTGGCTGGGGAGCAGGCTCCTGTCAGCCACTGGCCCCGGGCCCCTTCTTGTGGCCAAGGGCCATGGCCTCTGTGGAAACTCAGGCAGCAAGCTACCTGTGGGTTTTTCCCTTCACCTTTTAAGGACGAGACATCAGAAGCCTGCTTTAATGATATAGTCCAATCAGGCAGAAGTTTTTAACTAGTTTCTGAAACTGGTAGGGTCAGAAGGTGTTTGTGTATCCAGGGAGACTTCTCACCTACTCCTCCCATGCCCCCATGAGAGGTTATTCTTAGATGAGTGTCAGGAAAATATTGAAGAGATTTGTATGTCAGACCGGGATTCTCCGAACCCAAGCATCTGCTGAAATCTGATTCTTGGCTGTTTGTTACCATCAGACCTGAAGCCGCAGGCGCTGGCGGGCACGGTGCCCTGTCTTCCTGCCTACATTCTCTACATGTGCATCAGGCACGCAGATTACGTCAACGACGACCTCAAGGTGCACTCCTTGCTGACCTCCACCATCAACGGCATTAAGAAAGTCCTGAAGGTGAGCGCCCCGTGGCGGAGGTGGTGGTTTGCAGTGGATTGAGGGAAACCTGCACTTCCCCGTAGCTTCCGTCTGTCTGGGCTCTGCAGCAACAGGTTTTCCCCAGGCTCCAGCTCTGAAGGTAAATGATGTAAGCCCAGAAACAGCTTGCCGGTGGAACCAGGATGCCCAGGCAGTTTCTAGAAAAGGATGCCCAGGCTCAGAAATGGCAGGATGCCCAGAAATCCAGGGCACCCTGGTGCTTCCAAAAGACCAGAGATGCAAGGAGGGGACGTTCTGCCTTAGTGAGGGTGGGCTAACCCTGCCCTGGAGTGACATTCAGGAGCACAACCTGAATACAGGCCTTCTCCCAGACCTTTCCAAGGAGCTGGGTGCCTGCTGCCCAGGGTGATGGCACAGTGAAGGGTGCAGACATTCATCAGCTTGCAAAGTGAGGAGGCCTGGGCTGGACAGGGCGGCCTCCAGGGCTCTGGGCGGTTCAGCAACTCCACCTGAAGGCACAGGACTCCTCACCAATGTAGTGGTCACCACTGCAGAGAGAGGCTGGCCTGCAGGCCGACCCCATGGAGGCTACGGTGAGCGGTGAGATTTTTAAGGGAGATCAGTCCTCGCTGGGAGGGATTTGTTCCTCCCCACAGGCCCAAGCCCCAGGTGGCATTGCTCTCGCTCTCACAGACCATCCTCCGTTCTCCTACACTCTCCCACTTCAGGATGCAAGCTATCCTTGAAAGCATGGAGTCCGGGCCCATTCTGAGATCCGCCAAGCTGCTGTTGCCTGCCCCCTTTTCCCTTCTGGGAGCACGCCAACACCAGCCTTTAACTCCTAGCTTCCTGCCCGCTTGGTCTCTGTCTCTGCACCACCTGCCCAGCCTTGGGCCCCACAGACCATCTTATCCACTCCTGCCTCTAAACAGACACGCTGGGGACTCAAGATTGGGTTCTCCTGCCTCAGCCTCTAAGGCAAGCGCCATGTAGGGGCTTGTGCAGTCTGGGTAAGCCATGGGCTGACTTCATAGGTCACTTCCTCAGGGAAACCTTTCTTAATGACCAGGCTCAGCCCCTAGCATGCCAAGCCCTGCCCGCCCCGCCCCGCCCCCGGTTACTTTCTGTTGAACTCTCTCATTTTATTGTCATCATAGCTCCTACCTTCAGACGTTTAAACAGTGACAACTTTACCTGACAAAATGAGCTCTGTGCGGTCATCTGCCTTGGGACAGAAACTGTGTCATAGCTCTTTGGGTTGTCAAACGGCCTTTTTCGTCAAAGTTATGGTTCATAGCCCTTTTCCAGAGAGTTGAAGCCATGGGACATCTGCCCTCTAGATAATAGGGTACCAGAGTATCTCACTGGCATGTTCCTTACATCCCTTAGGTGAGATCACTGATAGTTGAGGACGTGCCAGGGCCAGATGCCCAGTGGTTCATGTACAGCTGAGGGCAGCTAGCCTCATGCCTCATCTGCCACCTGGCTTTGTGCTCTTCAGCCATAGAGCCAGCCTAGCTTTGTGAGCGTGCACAGGTGTGTGCCATGGACCAGGGAACCAGGAGAGAGGTCCGTGGGACATCTCCAGTAGCGAAGGAATGGGAAGCACAGCCTCTTGACTGTGGATCTCATCTTCGTGACTGGTAGTTGCCTGCCTGTGACACCTACTTGGGGCGTGCTGAATGGTTGTGGAAACCCGGAAAGAGACACCAGGTGAGCCTTTAACCGGATGGGAGCCACTACGCATGACCAGGGATGTCTTTCTCTTTTCACAGAAGCACAATGATGACTTCGAGATGACATCATTCTGGTTATCCAATACCTGCCGTCTCCTTCATTGTTTGAAGCAGTATAGCGGGGATGAGGTGAGTGCTGAACCCAATCCCCTGGGGAGCACTTAGAAACCATGAAAGTGCCTCAGATCCTCCTGTCAAATCCTCATTTCCTTGCATACAGCAATATGTGTTCTGCTTCAGAGCACCTCAGATCTCAGCTCAGAATGGGGGTTAGGGGTGTTGTGGAAGGTAGACCTGCTCTGTCCATATGTGGTTCTACCCGGAGGACAGCACGTAAAGTCTTGGGAGAACCGTCTGGGACTTCGGGCTGGAAGCAGTATTAAGCCAGCAACAGGATACCTGTCTCTAGGCGGCCTCCAGTGAGCACCTGAATCAAATAAGTAGAGTTGGTGGAGAAATGAGTTTATATGACCCATCTGAATGCTCCTGGGACTCTCCGGGGAAACGCTTGTGACCTTAAATTTCTGGAGCAGCCCCGGAAGAGCCCCAGTTCACTAAACACTGGAAGAAAGCCCATGTAGTTGTCTGATATATGAGACTATCTCCCAAGCCAACCAATTAGTTTGTTCATTTTAAGGCAGACACAGAACAGAGGCACAACATAATCAATGTACACATTAGTGTTAAGGCCCAGCTTTATTCTCCTATCCAAATTTGATTCCTTGGCCTGCAGCCCAACTGACTACATTATTTTCATATTCTACTCTGAACCTTGAGGGCCCAGCTTCATCTAGAGCTCACTTTCCCAACACTGGTCCCCGAAAGAACTGCGCCCTACTCTGCGTTCAGCCCAGTGACTTTGTAACATCATGTCTTCACTCTGGTTTCTCCAGTAAGAATCCCAACTCATCCCGGACACCACTCCCAGACCCCTGGAGGTTGCCTTGACTTTCCTTTCTCCCCTTCCTCTTTTGCTTATACTGAGAATAACACAATGAGAAGCATAAGACTTGAAGCACAATATAACCAGGTCTGTGTAGCCTAAATAAAAAGGGAGAAAAATATATATCTTAGCTATTTCACCTGCTTTTTATTTTTTATTAAAAATTGCTTTGTGGGGCACCTGGGTGGCTCAGTCAGTTAAGCATCCGATTTTGGCTCAGGTCATGATCTCACAGTTTGAGTTCGAGCCCCACGTCGGGCTCTGTGCTGACAGCTAAGCCTGGAGCCTTCTTTGGATTCTGTGTCTCTCTCTCCCCCTCCCCCTCCCCCACTCAGGCTCTCTCAAAAAGAAACATTAAAGACAATTGCTTTGTGATGTGACCTAGTATGAGAGGCTTTGCTGAGGGTGGTCACTCTTTTGAAAATAATCTATTTGGCTGCTGTTGGTTTACCTTGGCCTGCATACAAAGGGACATTGGTCACATGAATCCTTTCAACATTAGCAAATCTTTCAATTTAACATTATTTCATCTTGTTAGCATAGAAAGCCAAGAGGACTGGCGCTGTAGCTGTGAAATCATTTTGGTTTATTCTGACACCCAACAATAGAATCCATGTAAAACTTCTCATTATCAAAACCATCTGACCCAGGGTCGCACTCATTTAGTGGGCACGTATTCCACATTTTAAAGTAACCTGGCATATTAGGAAGGAAATTGGACAGAGAATCCAACAGCAAGAATCCCTCTTTGCCTAAACCTGCTACCAACCTTATATACACAATGGAGTACTACGTGGCAATGAGAAAGAATGA